TATATATATAAACAGTCATTTTAGGGATGTTGCAATACCCCCACAGTCCCATGTGACCAACCGTCTTACATTGAAGGAATGATGGTTTATTATCACCAATGAACTTTATTCGTGGATAAAAAACTAAGAAAAAAAATCAATGCTATTAAAAATGGATTTTGATAAGACATTTTACTCTATTAATTGGGGTTTTCTAGACTTTGCAATGGAACAAATAGCTTTGGGAGACAAATGAAGAAAATGGATTATGGGTAGCTTTCCGGAAAAACTTTGTTTTTGTTAGGTAAGGTGCCCCATTTTCTCCATTCTTATTTATCATTTTGTTTTGGAAGTACTTAATTTTTATTTATCCTTTTATTTTGGATGGACTTAATTTTTATTTATCTTTTTGTTTTGGAAGGACTTAAGGTAGGTGTGCGAGTAGCATGCAAAAACCCATGTTTCAACTATTTCTCTTCCTAATAATGGACAACCGGGGTCACACTAAATATATATTGATAAGTTTATGTTCATTAGGTCATCCTTAATACAATCAAAATAACTTGGATTCATAGATGATTCTACCTAACATCCGGGTTGAAAGTGAATGTTCATGAAGGCAAATTATATGACATCGAGTTCTTGATTGGTGGTAACATGGTACTTTCCAAAAATTGAAATCTCATTGTTAATCGTTTTCAATCCAAGTTGAATAGTTCGAAGGCAAAATAATCTTTCATTTGGAGGTCGTCTTACTCATATCAAATCAGAAGACTATCATTGTATTACTTTTCTCATTTTTCAAAGCCCCGAAAAAAAATCATTTACACAACGAGATATTTTGATCTACTATAGTAATTGATAAAATACACAACAAAATAATGTCATTATTTAAAAACATATTGAGTTGTTTCGCATACAATTTCTTTATTGTTCAATCATAATTGATAACTCTATTTCCAATCAATTTGATCATTTAAAATTTTAGCATTCTTCTTCTTTTTCACGTTTTTCCTTTTCTTTTCTTGCTCTTTCAAAGTTTTTGTTTTTGTTTGTATTTGTTCATTGTGTTTATTTTTTTCAACCTCAAGGGTTTTCTTTATGCCTTGTATACTTTCGATAGAGATACTTGACACATGTGTTTATTTATTTTTATACTTAGAGGATTTGACCTTCTTTCCCCTGTCAACGGTTTTCATCATATCATGTCCCCGTTGTTTGCCTTTTTCTTTAACTAAAGTTCAAAAAAGTTTCTAACTTGTAAAATAGTCCTTTTGAAATGGTTTTGGTCCCTAAAGTTAACATCCGTTAGTCCAAAAAAGAAATATAATGAATAAACGGTAATGGACTTGTACGAATATACAAGAACTTGACTCACAGTCATGAACATGTATCTCTTCTGATGCAAACCAGATACAATGAAAATTGTAGAGGAACTTTATATATGTATGTATAGCAATTGTTGAAATGAGCAGCAGCAGGATATAATCGATCAGAAATGACAGCATGGAATCTCTCAGTTTATATATTATGTTGCACGTGCAACACTTATGAGATTTGCCATCTCAATCTTCCTCACACATATAAGAACAACCTCAGGATCAACATCCCCAGTAACAGTTAATCTCCCATCTTCGGTATCCACATGGATTGTTTCAATGCCCTCAAGTCCAGATAACGCATTTATCACCTTCTGTTTTTGACTTTGGCTGCCTAAGTTGACTTCCAGCACAATTTTCTGGAATGTACAGTAGAATCATCAGAGAAATATATAGAACCTGATAATATACTTAATTGTTATCAATCATGTTTGATGTTACATGTCCCAACAGTTGAAGATTCACTAGACAATATTGCTTCATAGTAACATATTGGAAATAAAATGTAGGGTATAGTTATTAGTTAATGTCGAAATTACCTTCATCTGGCGACTACCATCATCTGTTGTTAGAGATTTCAGTTTTTCCCCATGTGAGCTTGAAGTAGACTCCTGATTCTCATTAGGAACAAAGGCTTTATACATGCTCGAACTCTCACCTTTTTCCTGAATAAATCACGACATCAACAATAGCCAGGTTATGTTTTCAAGACATGACAATTAAGTTGTAGAGTGAAAGTATAGGCAAACTCCATTAAATGTCTTCTGCAGATTTATAAGTTTAAGATGAATAACATATACTCATATATTAGGAAAGATTAAACTCCTCAATTCTATCTACCAAGCAATATAAACGTTTAATCACCTTTTCTAGTTGTTTACGAAAGTTATATATAAAAGCTTCTGCTCTCTCATCCAAATCACTTAATGAAAGGTCTAAATGTTCACTTTCATCATATGATTCTTCAGACATGTCCTCAAACTGTAGGTCTGCATCTTCATTTTCATCAAATGTTTCTTCAGATTTGTCCTCAGCCTGTAGGTTGTAAATGTGTACATTGATGGGTGTGAGTTAATGTCCAACACAAGGAAAAGTCAAAACTCTTTTCTTTTATCCACTAAACTTAATGTCCAATCACCTTTTTTGCTGTATAACTAGATTTAAAGGATGTGGCAGATTTCCTTGTCTCCCCAAATATCCTTGATGTCAACTTCAAAGTTTTATCTAAAAAAGATATTTTTCGAATCTTGTAAATTTCCTCCTATTTGATTTTCATAAACACAATAGTCAGATCCGCAAAACCAACCGTTATTATGTAATATGTCGCTCTTCATATTGTTCATTAATGAATTGATGCGGAAAAAAAAAAAAAAAAAAAAAAACATCTTACCGGTTCAGGACCATCGATGATGCATCTAACAGTTCCCAACTCTGTAAATGAGGGATTTAACTGCTTAGGTCGACCTGTCTTTCTCCATCCTCGTACCTCTGTAACAAGATTGGTGTCGTAAGATGAACTTTCTCTATTAGCATATATAAATCTAACTACAATTCACAGAATTAATACCAGTATAGTCAATGGTATTATCGTCAACTAAAACCCTAAACCAGTCAGGAATCAGTCTGCCAACCTCCATTAACCCAAAGAAATCACGACGACAAAGATAGTATGCTCCTGTGCTTAGTTGAAATCCAGACAAATCTCCTCCAAGAGTTTCTATCCATCCCATGTTATTTTCTAAGGTTTCTGTTTCATTAGCGTAAACAAGTCTCACACCACATTCGTGTACCTCCAATCCACTCATCACAACAATCGTGACATTAACTTTATCACCAGTGTTCAATGTGTTTCCAATTGGCCAATAACTAAACCATATACCAACTTTATCAGAATCGATTTTGCCAAAGACTTTGGGATTGTACATCAACTCAACACCATTGTTCGTATTGATTTTACAGAACCATGCCCAATCGTCATCACCTGATATTGTTGTGTATTTGAAAGTTATATCAAGCCCTTTAAGCCTCCTATTCTTGGGACACGAAGACATATCAAAGGACAAAGACGATAATTCTGATATATACGTAGGCTTCATGTTTGGATCCGTTATGTCTGGTAGAGATGTGCTCATTATATCAAACTCATATAGCATCTGTAGTCACACACACATATGTACATAATCAGTTTTTGCTTGTGATTGTGTTTGGGAGAAAAGAAATTAAAAACAACTAACCTGGAGAAAAGAGCTTCTGCCTTTGGTTAGCTCATCATCACCAATCAGGGACACCTCTTGATTTTGATATTCTTTTAGCCACTTCATGTGTCCCAAATCATTATCTTCAAGTTTTGCAACAGGCACCAATTTGATAAAGCCTTCTATTTCACACAAACTAATACAACCTTCATACCCCAACTCTTGCAATGTGAATCGATGTGATTCAAAACTTATTTTCTCCAGTGACGTACAGTAGTATATATACAATTCTGCAAGTGTACTTGGGAGAGATATAAGCGATTTAAGCCTTGAGCATAAACTCAAGTCAAGGACCCGAAGATTTTTAAGATGATTATAAGTAGGAAGAAACTCAAACAGACTATTGCCTAAATTCAAGTACTCCAAAGATGGTTGAACACTGAAATTCAAAGGAAAAGAATCGAGATTACAGTCCTTGAGGAACAACTGGTGTAATGAATGTGGGAAAGGAAAGGTTTTTTGTTCTGAATTTGAAACTCCTCCACCAAAAGTAGAAGCTACTAGCCTTAATAACAGGTTTGTTTGCTCCCTTTTGCACAGATTTTTACACCCTGTCATGTTCAGTAGTGCAAGACTCGTGAGTTCTCCTATGGTCTCACAAACACGAACCAGACTTTGACAGTTCCAAAGAATCAAAGTCTCGAGATGAGGTATCCTGGACATGTTGCGGATTTCAATTAGATTGTAGGAGTCTTTAAGATTTAAAATATGCAGTGATTGAAGAACCTGTTGCAAAAGTAACAAGTTATATATGTAAGCAAAATGAGTTACAAAAATTGAGAAGCTAAATCGAATTCCCTACCATGGGTGGTTCGAATACTTCCAAGTTGCTATAGCTCATATCTATAGCCACCATATTTCCCATGAATAAGTCAGAGGGTAGGGTTCGTAAAGGGAATCCAAACCAGCAAAGCCATCTTAAATCTTCTGAAAAATTCTTGTAGGACCCATCGAGTTGCACAAAATTTAGTTGCAGCAATTTTAGTTTATCCATCTTTTGAAGTGCAGCTGTCGTGAGGTTTGATGACTGCAGATTTAGCATGAAGAAGGATAGTAAGCTTACATCATATCCATTAATAAGTTCACGAAATTTAAGGATCCTAAGTAACACCATCGTTGACTAGGACATTAGAAAAAACCACCTTTTCTAAACATAAACAAATTTCTTCATGCTTTTCATCTTTCTTTTTACTTCTCTTCTTTTTTATTAATATATACATGAAACAGTATGAAATCCAAAATAGATAATTCATTTAAGAAAATAATCAGATCTAAACCATAAACAAGAAACAAAACCCAAATATTCAATTTTAGTTATTCTGTATTACCTTGAATGCATGCTTCTCTGCCATTAGCATTTGCATATCAAGTGCCAAACCTTCTATTGTTTCTGAACCCTAAAAAAAAAAAACAAAAAGATAATTGTAGATCTAAATGAATTGAAATAGGGTGGTGTGAAAGTAAAAGTACTCTTAGAGCATGTTTGGTTTAGCTTTTAAACATGTTAAATTAGTTAAAAACTGAAAGCTCCTAAAAACTACTTGAAGTAAGTTTTGGATTTTTGTTTAAAATAAAGTTAAAAGCTAAAAGTTCTCAACCACACCCCTAAACATACACATATAAGAAGCAGCTTACCTCTCCTTTGCTTAATATTCTATAAGAGTCGCTATTAAGCCATACCCTAGTACGTTTTGTAGGGAATTTTAATGATTCTTGGAAAACTATGCTTTTCCCCATCTCTTGAACTAACCGATGCATCATCAGTATGTTGTTTGGTGAAATAGAAAGAAGGCATCTGTTGGATAGGGTTTTAATCCCAGATAATGCAGCGTAATCATGCTCCAATATCTTTACGAGATAATCCTTGTCTTTGCCGATAAAGAAACATGCAATATGCAAAAACAACTCCTTCTCTAAGATAGATGGCAATGAGTCATAACTCGTCATAAGTACACTTTCAAGTTTCGAATCAAAATCTTTATCCAACAACTTCAATCGACTTTTCCAATATGATATCGTATTGTCATTGGAAAGAGAAGAAGCCAACAATACAAGTGCGAGAGGATGTCCTTGACAATATTCTAGTGCTTGTAATGCAACCTCCTCAAAACCTTCCATAGGAACTTTAGAACCAAAGGCATAACGACTTAAAAGCTCTAATGATTCATCATTGTTTAATAAATTCATTTTATAATCTTGACACCTCCGATATGGGAAGTGAAAGTGAAACCAAGTATTTGTACTTTCCCGGGTGGTTGTTATTATAATCTTGCTTTGTGCATTAATCGTCCCAGTTCCAAGTAATTGGAGTATCTGTCCATGGTCAGTGACGTCATCAAGAACAATAAGCGCCCTTTTCGTTTCTAAAGCCTCCATAATCTTACATGTACCTTGAGAAACGCCGGGTATTTTTCTCTTCTTGCCACCTAAAATATCTTTAAGAAGCTGTTGTTGTAGCTTACGCATAACATGGTATTCTTTACATCTACGACCAATGTCTTCAATAAAACTTGTGTTTTCAAAATAATTACAATTTGAATCGTAAATATACTTGGCCAAAGTTGTCTTGCCACTTCCAGCCATGCCGCAAATTGCTAAAACTTGAAAATCGGGTCGCTTTAACCAGGAACTGATCTCACCATATCGACTGCTCATCCCTACAAGATTGGGTGGAAGATGAACTTCTTTGCGATCCAGTTTGTTGTAAATTGCGTCAACAATTTCCTTCAAAAACTTTGTTTCAGGCCTGGAACAACATGTATTGTTTGATTTAATGAAGATATTAAATAGCTAACAAAATTTTGGGTACGAGAAGAAACAAATTAAGAGGCATACCCAGACAGAACCATGCCAGCCAAATCAGCAACCTCCATAAGAGCTTTCTTCCAAAGGTTCAGGTTGTGATCTGTCCACCTTGGAGACGCGTTGACTTTGATTGCGAACGTTTTATTTTGTTTCCTTACATCAGATGGATCAACTTGATAAAAAACAGGTAAAACGAAATGATTGCACTCTCTTTTTTGTTGGAGGATCAACAGGAGCTCGTCGAGGCACCAAGCGGAAGTTGCATAGTTTTCTGACAATACAACTACTGAAGCCCTAGATTCTTTGATTGCTTTCTCGATCTCCGGCTTCAGTTCGTGACCTCTGTTGATTTCTTCGTTATCCCTAAAAGTACGGATTCCTGCTTGCATTAATGCCTTGTAAAGATGATCGGTAAAAGAATGACGGGTATCTTCGCCTCTAAAGCTTAGAAAAACGTCGTAACTGCTAGCATTAGCACAAGCCAAAATACCAGAGGAAGAACAGGAAGCCATTGAAACTCGATCTGCGACGATTAAGATGAAGTCAACGGAAACGTTTGACTTTGCAAAATAATATCCCAGCTGCTTAACAAAAGAAATATTAGTATCTTTCAGAGCATTCGTATATAGGAGTAGACGGTCCTTATCAGGCTGAAGGGTGTGGGCGCGGTCCCGGACCGCAGTTGGTGCCACGTCAACCAAGAACACCGCCCCTAGACCGCGGCTTGGTGCGGTCTTGGCCGCAGTGCGGCTGGGGAATACCACGGTTTTTGATTGGTCATTGGGTTTTGACTACTTTTGACCGTTGATTGGTCTTTGTGGTTAATTTCTTTTTCTTTTTTTAAACTTTACTACACATATATATATATATATATATATATATATATATATATATATATATATATATTACCATTCTACACAACATTTTTNTACAACCTTTTACCATATCTCTACTCTTTTTCTTTATTTTTTTTTTTGAAAAATGTCATTTTCCAAACGACCCAGCAAAGAAAAAACACCAGTCAGAAATACCAACACCCCACTACCTTCATTTGATCAATCGATTTTCTCACCTCCATATTACCACTACGGTGGTATGTTTCCGTATTTTCCACAACGACCAGCGCAAACACAACCACAAACACCACCACTACCACAACCCGACCCGGATTTTAATCAATTTGATTTTTTATCTCAACCCGAGTTTGTTCAACAAACACAAACACAACCAGAAACGGTCGTTTCTGGTTGTGTTTGTGTTTGTTGAACAAACTCGGGTTGAGATAAAAAATCAAATTGATTAAAATCCGGGTCGGGTTGTGGTAGTGGTGGTGTTTGTGATTCTGAACCGGAATTCGACACAGAGACTCAGCCCACTCGAGCGGCAACTAAAAGAAAAGAGAAGGCGGAGGCTAGATGTTGGGAACCTTTGGAAGCGTTAGTGTTGGCACAAT